ATCCTCTAGGGGGGTCCGGTAAGATTTTTTTTTTAAATGTTGGACTTAAATCATGACTTAAATGCATCAATCTGGTGCACTTTGAGGGGGAAATAAAGAGAGACTAAACCCATATGAAACAGAACTGTATACATTTAAATAATCATAAAATCATAAGAACATGGCCATAACCAATAACATACCATATCCAATATGAAAAAACATTGAAACTTGTTTATTTATTTGTTTTTGGGTCATTTATAGTTGTGAGTGTGGGCACCTGAACCAGCCTCACCCGTCTCCCCCCTGCTCCTCTTTGAGGAAGCAGCAAAGACTAGTTTTAGCTCTCAACAAGTTTTTAAAGTTTATCCTACCTTTTTTCACCTAATCAAATTTTTTTTATTATTATTCATGCATATTTTACTAATCACTCCCACTTCAAATGGAAATATGTGTTTACATAATGGTGACCAAACCGTTTGAGACCCACAGAGAACTTAGACTAAACACTCAAGAGTCCTTTACCTCAACTGAGCTGTAGTTATCAGTCTCTCAATCTGACAGGAGAGGACTCTCCTCCACCTTGTTGACAGCTCATTATATCCGTTAGCGCAGCCAGCTAGCACGAGATGCTAACAACAACAATACACGTAACCGGTGCGCNAGATATAGATGTCTATATATATATATATATATATATATATATATGTATATTGTCAATATTATTGATGTATTTATATTAAAGCTGAATAAATCTGATGAAAAGGAAACACATACCAGGCTGATTTGTGAAATGTGGTGAAGTACAGGTAAATATGCATTTGGATTATAGTTTGCTGAAACCAAGACCGCAGGGTATTTTAAGAAAGGAAAGTGCAGAAGCTCCAAAAGTCCAAACAGAAACAACCTTAGCAGGATGGCAGCATCATCAAACCTCCGAACCATCACTCAGACCAGAAGACGCCTGGGGGAAGAACAACCTGGTGACCATGTAGCTTCGGGAATGACCGTCCATACCCCCCCTCCCAACATCTGATTTGGTGTGAATGCAGTCATACTGTGTTACTAACTGAAGACGTTGAGATTAAAATACATGGCTTTTACTGAGCGTCACGTAAACATAAGAGGCTTTTGTGTTGCATTGTGGGAAATGTGGCATCCATTGCTTTTTTTCTTGACCCATACAGGTACTTAAAGTCAGGATATCCCGGTGCTGATGCTTCAATTTTGAACCGTCTTCTTTTAAGTGTTACTCACTTATTATTACAGAGAACGTCCCCTATCGTGTCCTGAAGGGTACTGCCACCTTTGGTCAAGGGTCGAAATGTTATGTAATAAAATAAACGTAATTAATAATTTGGGGTGGACTGACTTTGTAACACAACAGATAAATGACAACCGTACTGCTGAAGTTATAGCTAAAGTCAGGTTCTAAATTGAATCCAGTGCATTCTGATAGAGTCCTGACAACACCTTCATGAAGGTCACAATGATTTGGACAGGTTGAAGATTATCTGAAAATGGCGTTTGTGGTGCTTTTCAACTTTTCAACAACACATTTTTATTTATTTATCCTAGGCTTACTGATAGATAATCTAATATGCAATTGCAAAGCCTATTAATCAGAGGGTGAGTGGTTTGATCCCCAGCCTAGACAACATGTTGAAGTATCCTCAGACAAGGAATTGAACCCAAAATTGCTCCGTAGGCATGTCGACAGTATTTTGTATGCTAAATGAAGCATTTCACATCCAAAGATTAGATTAGATTCAACTTTATTGTCATTGTGCAACGTGCAGGTACAAGCCAATGAAATGCAGTTAGTATCCAACCAGAAATTAGGTTGCTAATGTATACCCCTGTAATTATGTTGTATTGATGTCCTTTTGTTTTCTATTGTTTTTATGTGTAACCAATGTGCTGCAGGTCTCCCTTGAAAAAGATATCGTTGATCTCAATGGGTTTTTTCACCTGGTTGAATAAAGGCTATAAACAAACAAGAAATGCAAGATGTGCTATATATAAAAAGAACAAGTTGCATATTATTAGGGATGCACCGAATATTCGGCCGCCGAAAATTATCGGCCGAAAATGGTTAAAAAGGCTCTTTCGGCTTTCGGCCGAAAGGGTTTTAGCACCACGGCGGACTGGTCAGAGAGCGAACAGGTCACGGAAACCACTAGAACTAGAATGAGGCGTATAAACAGGCGCCATAAAAAACTAAAGTTCACCACCCCTCGGATAGGGCTTCAACCCTTTCAGAAAACGTCAATGTGGGGGAGGTGGGCCCTTTACCAGTCGACCTCTGTGCAAAATGTTTAGCGTTAGGCGCGGAGAAAGAGGACTATAAAAATTTATGAGCTTCGCGGTCTGTACAACCGCAACTCGGTCGGCCCGCGTAACCAGCGCGCGGCACGGAACAAGCGGCGTAAAAACTTAATGCAGTAGTGTTGTTGTGCCAATCGAATGGTTGCGATGGTGACAAGGGACTGTAACCAC